GACTGTTTCTGCTATACGTTTTATGAAGACCTTCAGGGCTGGTTATCTTGAACCAGAGGTTTTTCACCTGAATCCGGAAAAAAGTGACACTCAGTTCTTTAAAAAAATTATCCGATTTGTGCCTTCTTCACTTTCTTGGTTTGGTGCCTACATGGTCAATGCATACCCTCTAGATATGTCTCAGTACTTCAGGCTTTTCAATTCTACGCGGCTGCCTAAGCTCAACAGAGATGAGCTTTATACAGATGAAAAGGCAAAACATTTACTAGTACTGAGAAATGGGAATTTTTATGTATTTGATGTTATTGATAGAGACGGAAATATGCTGAAACCTTCAGAAATACAAGCACACTTGAAATACATCCTTAATGAAAACAGTCCAGCCCCAGCCTTCCCTCTTGGCTACCTCTCCAGTGAAAACCGAGATAGATGGGCATTGCTGAGAAAGAATCTACTGGATAATGGCAATGAAGAAGCTCTTCAAAAAGTAGACTCTGCTGTGTTTTGTTTAAGTTTAGATGATTGTACCATTAAAGACTTTGTGCACTTGTCCCACACTATGTTGCATGGAGATGGTGCTAACCGCTGGTATGACAAATCCTTTAATCTTATCATAACTAAGGATGGCACTGCAGGAGTTAATTTTGAACATTCCTGGGGAGATGGTGTGGCTGTGCTCAGGTTCCAGAATGAGGTTTTTAAAGACAGCACCGAGGCACCAGCCATCAGCCCCGAGTCCCAGCCTGCTTCAGTAGACTCTTCTAGAGCAGTGCAGAAACTTGACTTTAAGCTGAATGATGCCTTAAAAGCAGGAATTACCAAAGCCAAACAGAAATTTGATGCCAGTGTAGAAGCACTGTCTCTTAATCTGATTCAGTTCCATGGAGGGGGCAAGGACTTACTAAAGCAGAAGAAGGTAAGCCCAGATGCTGTGGCTCAGCTTGCCTTCCAGATGGCTTTCCTTCGACAATACAATCAGACTGTTGCTACATATGAGTCTTGTAGTACTGCAGCTTTCAAACATGGTCGTACAGAAACTATACGTCCTGCCTCTGTCCATACAAAGAAATGTTCAGAAGCTTTTGTCAGGCAACTGTCCAAACATAGCACAGAAGAGCTTCAGAAGTTGATAGTGGAGTGCTCAAAATACCACGGCCGTTTGACAAAAGAAGCTGCTATGGGTAAGTAGGAATATATCAAACACTCTTGCTTTTGCACTAAAATATCTATTAAGGTTGCTGTAAACATTTACTACACAACTAAAAAATTTGAAGGTCTAATGTTAATGTAAACTTGACAGAAACAATAGCAGAAGGCTGCAGTTAAAAATGTATTCCCTAAGACTTCTTTCTTGATGGAGGAGAATGCCTCTGTGGCTCCCGCTTCACTGTTAATGTGTTGAGAATTTTTTATACTTTAGTTTTTGTCCTTATAGCAGCTGGGCTATTTGAAGATTTAATAAAGACTTAGTGCATGTTGTACTCCCCAAGGCAACCAAGAACTTTGGCTTTATGTCTGAGGAGGTACTATCTCATCTCTGCAGGGGATAAAGGCTTTAACAACTTCCAAATCAAACTGATTCTTTGGCTGTGCTACCTCTGGTATTTTTCTAAATGCTTTCTTTTGAATCGTCCTTCCCAGAAGCATAACTTGTTGTATTGTTTCAGTAAAATCAACTGTTGAACATTACCCTGTAGAGTCTAAAACTTGCCTCCTTTTGTTGATGCAAGATCCTCTTCCTCTTTAGATTCATACATTTTAGGAAAGCCTTTCTCTGTTTTAAACAACTTGGATATGTTCAGATAAATAGTTAATCAAAGAATACGATGTATTATTAAAATTGTCTGTTAACATTGCACTTTTGTTCACTATGATGATTCCTGGTTGAGGCTACCAGAGCAAGCCCTCATTCCCTAGGATACATGCATTAAAAGTGCAGAATGTCTGGGTTTTGAAAAATAATTCTTGCTAATACAGTAATAAACCCCAGTTCTATAGACCTCCTCTTTTGTGGCTGAAAAACAATGTGATGTCAAAATAAGTGAGTTTACTTCCCACAAAAATTAGTTCTCTCTCTAATACTTGTTATTTTATTTTAACAGGTCAAGGATTTGACCGACATCTCTTTGGCTTGCGCAATTTAGCATTATCCAAAGGTATTGCACTGCCTGATTTCTATCAAGACCCAGCCTATGCTCGGCTTAATCACAACATCATTTCTACAAGCACATTGGTTAGCCCAGCTGTGCAGTTAGGAGGGTTTGGCCCAGTGGTGTCTGATGGTTTTGGAGTAGGGTATCAGGTACATAATGATTGGGTAGGCTGTAATGTTTCCTCTTACCCAACTAGGAATGGTAAAGAATTCCTTCAGTGTATACACAAGTCACTAGAAGATATCTTTCATGTTTTAAAGGGCAAGAAAATTGGTAGTTAGACAGAGAAATGTTGGAACACTTAACAGTTGCAGTACAAAATGCAGACTATGTCTAATGAGCATACTAATCAGTGTTCAACATGGCTGAGACTGCCCAGCTTAATTGGCTTCATTTATCTTCATTGAACTTGAATACGGTTAGATTCATTATGAAATTTATATCCGTTTTAAAGAAATGAAGTACAGGCCTTGAATGCATGCTTCAGGAAATACAAGCATTCACAATGTGAAAATTGAGTAACAGATCTGTTCCAGCAGATCCACGTGTTCTTAAAACACATTATTTAAAATAAAAAGCATTGTTAATAAGTCTGTGAACTCGAAATGTGTATGTTCCATGACGGTTCAGACAGACTACAGTACTGTGCTACCACTCTTAAACTGTTTGATTTGAAAAAAAAAAAAAAGCAATAATTTTAAATATGAAAGAGTGGTTACATTTGCACTCTTGCAGTAAGCTTGGTTACTAACTTGTCACTTACTTTTCTCTTTAAACTTGAATCAATATCAACTGATTGTGCCTCAACTGCTTGAAGCCCTTCCACTGTAACAGCTTTTTGAGAAACAAAAAATGAGGTGGGAGGCTTTAAGTAACCTGCAATCATCAACTGTGTTGTTAAATTGACTAGAAAAGACTGTATTGTAATAAAGCTATCTATTAATAACCACAAAGTTCTTTTATTGCCATATCAAAAATATACAGTATGGGTAGTCCCTTTATCAATAGCTCATGTTTTTTATAAAAGTTGAAAAGAATACTGCTGAAAGCATTCTGCAATGTTGGCTCTCCCTTTCCATACATGAAGTCTGTCCAATAATCCGCTTTTGTTTTGCTATGTAAACCTGTGCTCTTGTGCTTTAAAAAAGAGAAATCACTGAACTTTATCTTTTGGTGTTCTCTTTCCAAACTTCCTCTTAATGTCAAAAAGGAACCTCAACAGAAGGTTTTCCTGTTTCCTTCTTGCTCTATCAGCTAGACCTTTTGATGTTATTTATTGCAGCAAATGCCAAAGTCTTAGCGCCTAGAGCTGCGTCTTCAGTGAATTGTTGCAGAAATTCTAAAGGCTAAGGCTTATCAGAACTCTCTGAAAGATTGCAGGAGAGCTTGAGCATAGACATCAGTAAAACTTAGTGATGCTGTGAATGCGAGATGAAACTGATGCAGACGAGTTCCTATTGTGCTGTTCACAGCTGGGACTCTGCCAGCTACAGAGTGGGTGATAGCAAAAGGGGAAGGGGCCTTTATCAGTCAAGAAGCCAAAGGTGCTGCAAGTTGCTGGGATTACAACACAGATGCCCTTTGCATGAGACACCCCTTTTTGCACAAAATTCATTATGGTGTGTGTAACTGGAACTCCTCTGCCTTTTAAACCCTCTTGACTTCCATTCTTTTTCTTCTAGGAAGATGAATCTTTCTCTAGAGCTGAATAGCACAGTAGTGCTTGCTTCTGCAGCTCTGTGTAAAACTAATACAGCTCATGTCTTTCAGTACAGCCCACTGTGTCCTGGACAACCAAATGTATTAGCAGAAAATAAAAGTCCGAGCATGTTGGTTGGATGTGACAGATCAGGTTCAGAGGCTCAGAAACCTACTTGTCTTTACTCTTCCTTTGGATATCTCAGCTTCCAGGTTCTCCCAGTGTCTTTTTTCTTTATCACAGTAAGTGTAAGCAATACCGTATCTTGAAGCGTGAACTGCAAGTGCTAGGAAGGGGAGAGGCATGCTTTAAATATGTAAGCCTGAAGGCTTATAAAGTTTTGCTAGTCAGGGTTGTTTGCTCTGCAGCCTGTAATGTGCTGTTCTAGTTTTCAGCTGAAAAGGATTATTTTAAAATTTACCATGATTGTTCTAGCTCATTTAAACAAAGAAAGGATGGCAATCATTTGGGAGGGTGAAGAAAATAATGTATCAGGAAACAATAATCAGACCAAAAGTCTTTGAATGAAATTCACTAAAGATGATCTTTGGGGCGGGGTGGGGGTGGGGGTGTTGTTGCTGGGTTGGTGTGGGTTTTTTTTATTTTTTTAAAAAAAATGAGAACAGCTGGCAAGATTGTGAGAGCACTTGCCAAGAAGTAAAGTCTGTCTTCAACTGGAAATAAGTGAGGTTTACTTAATACTCAGAAAGATAATCTGATTTGCAGAAGATTGTAACAGCTATGTCTTAAGTGTCAATAGAAGTAAAGCTTAGTAAGTGTTCTCAGTAAACTCACCACCTGTGTCTTTACTTGAACTGGCAGAAAGCTACTAAAGATGTACCTTTTCCCTTGAACAGTTAACGCAGTCCCTTTACTAATACTCATAGCCCTTTCCTGATGGTAGGAGTGGCGAGTGAGAAGACCTTATTTGCTTATGTTAGAGAATCAAATGTGGGTGCTTCTTGGTCACAGGCTATTAAAACTTCAAGGCTGCAAGTAGTCGTAAGTAGTTACTGTTGATACAGTAGTTAAGCTACAGTCCACCACAACCATATATATTCCCCCAACAAACAGTATTAAGAAAATAGCACAGTTCAGTCAAGCATATATACTATTTTCAGTTTGTACTGAGGCCATCTCAAAGTTCTCTGTGGAAAATATTTTATTAGGGCATGCTGCGGACAGTAAGTACAACTTAGGTTTCCATTTCTGAAGTACAGCCATGTGAAAAGTAACTCCAAGGAAACTGTGTCTCTGATGGTTACAGCTCCTTCATCAATAAGCATGTCAAGACTTATCAGGGGTACAAACTTCAGCATTTTACAAATTTATGGGTAACTTCATAGATTCCAACAGATTCCTTTGTTTTTTCATCATAGTCATTCCAATCCTATAGGAAACAAGATTTCACAGTATTAGTCACAGAGGATGGAATGGAATTGTGTCTAAAACATAGACTGGAATTCAAACTGAAACTAAGCCTTACTCAAAATTTGGGTCTTAGATTTCTGTGGAAAGCACTGTGCAGTCACTAAGCTAAGTTCTGACAACTGAGAGAAGCAAGAACACTGGCCTGAAATTAAATGAGCTTCAGTCTCAGTGTTTTTATTTTAACAATGATTTTGTTTGTTTGTTTTTTATGTAGTCCACAGCCTGTAGTGGACAAGACAGCAACAATGGCAGATGAAAGGATTATCTATCAATCATTTGCAATACCCGAGTCAGGTGGGTAAGCAGACAAGCAGATCCCTGCCAAGTACGATACCAGGGAACAGATTTGACCTTGAGATTCTTGCTCACAGCCAAGAAAGATTTGCAATGCCGGAGTCATTATCCTGAGCTTTGAAGGACAGTGTCTTTCTATTACTTTTTAATATCTCTGCACACAGGAAAAAGTGCAGACATCTTCCTAGAAAAAACAGTTCACCATTCTGAATAACCCCAGCCATTTAGTATTCCAGGTGTTTGCTCTCTGGAATTCCTCCGTAACTTAAAAGAAAAGTTGCATTTCTACCTTTGTCAGCTGCTAAGCTATCAAATGTGTACTTTTAAAATGATGCTGTTAGTAGTCCTGGTTGTTCATAGTTGATATAGTTTCTCTCTCCAGCTATGATGTTCCTGTGCCTACACAAAAGAGCAAAACTAGTCTCTTGCATGTGCAGGGTGTGTATTTTGGACTAGTGATTTCGGGAAAGGCAGCTATATAATTAGATTGACTGATGCAACTAAGGCAACATACCTTTTCCAACAAGTTTATGTCATTGAAAGGTGTGCCAGATTCTGCACCTTCAGCGGCAAACCCTGCCTGCAAACACATTTACAGTAAGTTTTTAAGAATAAGTTGTACCCAGAAAATAATAAATATGATCATTGAAACATGTTTAAAGAAAGTAACTCAGCACAAACTTTTATTGTATTTCTTTTAAATTAGGTAGAAAGAATGGTCAAGCTTTTTCCTAGTTAAGGGTCAGTATAAGGTTGTGACCCTGGTTGTGAATTGGGAAGATTCAATTGTGTTGGTTTTGGCTGGGATAGAGTTAGTTTTCTTCCCAGTAGCCGGTATGGGGCTATGGTTTGGAATTGTGCTGAAAACAGTGTTGATAACACAGGGATGTTTTCGTTACTGCTGACCAGGGCTTGCACAGAGTCAAGGCCTCTTCTGCTTCTCACCCCACCCCACCAGTGAGTGGGCTGGGAGTGCACAAGGAGCTGGGAAGGGACACAGCTGACCCCAGCTGCCCAAAGGGATATTCCATACCGTATGACATCATGCTCAGCATATAAAGCTGGGGGAAGAAGGAAGGGGCGAACGTTCAGAGTTACGGCATTTGTGTTCCCAAGTAACCATTACACGTGATGGAGCCCTGCTTTCCTTGGGATGGCTGAACACCTGCCTGCTGATGGGAAGTGGTGAACTAATTCCTTGTTTTGCTTTGCTTGTGTGCATGGCTTTTGCTTTACCTATTGAACTGTCTTTATCTCAACCCACCAGTCTTACTTTTACCCTACAAATTCTCTTCCCCATCCCACTGGAGGGGAGTGAGCGAGCAGCTGTGTGGTGTTACTTGCCAGCTGGGGTTAAACCACGACATCAATCTAAGCAACTACAGAGTAAAATGAGGGAACACTGCTCCTCTATTTTTCCTGCCAAAAAGGTATTTCCATGTATTCTAGATAATGTTAAACCTGGGTTTCTAAGTTTATGTAGCAGCATCCAACTACTAATAGCTTTGCATTCAGAATCCATACAGGCATTATGTGTAAAATAGCTTCATAATAAACTTACACTGCAAGAAAACAATAGAAAGAAAATGTGGAAGAGAGTTAATAGTTTTGGCTTAAATATTGTCAGAATCCAAGACACTCTAGAGATGGAGCGGCTTGTATTGGATTTAGGTACAGAAGTGACTAGCCAGCTTTACGTGAAAGGGCGATCAGCTGGCCAAAGTAACAGATTAGTCAACCCAAACAATCATTTCAAAGGGGAGAGTTCTTCACTGTTCCTATTGCTGTTTTTAAAGAGCTGAAGGAAAGGACAGCACTAGGAAGGAAATAGCCTATCAGTGGGGTATAGCACAAGAGCATGTCTTCTGTTTTATCTTCTATAGGAACAGCGCTCTTATTTTAGGGTTCACAGTTACCAAGCTGTAAATTAAGTTTTATTAAGTTTTAAAAGTAAATTTAAAAGTCTGAGCCACCTCTGTAGCATACAGGAAGATTTCTTACATTGCCATGTCTAACTACAGACTTTTATTAAGAAGTGGCTAAAAAGCAAAGGTAGCTCCTTCCTGGTTTTCTGCAAGGGATCTACGCTTGCAGTTTTGGTAAACCCCCACAAATGCCAGTCAGACATTTAACTATGTAAGAATGTGTGAAGTAAGTCACAGGATTTTAAAATATTAAAGGAGGGTTAAGCACTGGGGAGTTAAATAAACCAGAGAGTGTGGAGCCGTAACAACCAGAGAGCTATCTGCAAGGCACAGTGTGAATATGGCCTTTATGTGATTGTCAGAAGCCCATCTCAAGGGAACTGCTAGGGCTGGAGAGGAAGATCAGCACCAAAGGACAAAAATGCAGAGCTGCAGTATAGGACAAACACTAGAAAAATAAAAGAAGCCCTGCTTTTGCCACCTGGAGATACTGACCAGCCCTCCAAGGAACAAGAAGCCATGTGACTGGAATTAACAAGCTTCTGTACCAGACACTCGGCGGGACTTGCATTCTTACAGCTTTGGCGTCAGAGCAGAGTGTCCTTTAATCTCTGCAGAAGGGAGCTGGGCGATGCAGTGCCCGGTCTGCCCTCTCCTGACTGACGAAGGACCGACAGCTAAAGGATAAACACACGCACCAAAGAAGCTAAAAAGCCTCCTGACTTTACAACACAGTGAATTGTCACACTTTTGTTACCAATGAAACGATTGGTTGTGCCACAAAGCAAAGAAGCTGAAGAAGGTTTAAGAGAAATTTTATAAAGAAAACTGCCTTTTTCAGTTGAAGCATTCACTTCAGAGACAAGGACAGGAAAGGAGCTGAACTATCCTCAAATAAAAACAAAAATTACATATCAGATTTACAGTAGATGTATCTACTTAAGCACATTAAAGATAAGCAATTGGGGGGAAAAAAATAAATTGTCCTTGCCTAACTACCTAGTTTGAATTTGTTGCTGCTACAAGGTGGGAAAAAAGGTTTTATATCAGAGAATCAAAGGACACTTTCTCCTCTTTCAAACTCAAGTGATTTTGAGAAAACTACTATAATTTAAATTAAGGCATGCAAGTATTAAGCCACTGTAAACTAACTTCAGGTATGGTTGTATTATGTCTTATCAAAGAAAATACAGTAACACTATGGCCAATCCTGTTTGGTCCTAATCAAAAGCCAGATCTAAGGTGGCGGAGAAGGCAGACTGGCTTGGATCATGTCATATATAAAGCAGCTTATAGAATTGTTTGGAATGGCAGAAGTCTATATATTTACTCATTTAGGCATCAGAAAATTCACTGAAATATCTGCTCAGGGATTCAAGCATACTCTCGGACAGAGTGCACCGACCACACTTTGAGAATATTAAATTAAAAGCTTCATTACAGCTGTGAAGTCTTTGTTCTACAGATAAAAATAAAATTGACAGCTAGGATGCAGAGCTATAAACATCTCCTACAACATTTTGTAGTCTAGATTTTTCTTGAAGTGCAAGTTCCTAGGTCTGGCTGCAAAGCTTTCAAACAGGAATAAATCAATAAGCATTCTGTTCCTAAAAAGATGGGCTTCACTTAAAAATATATGTAAGTAAATAAAAGACCACCTGCAGCACAATGCAGTGGTGATTTTATTTATACTGAATTCTTCGTAGGATCAGCTTTTTCGGTATGTTTCTTAGCACAGTGTCGCACTCTGAGGGAAGGATAAGACAGGTTTATATTTGTCAGTCTATTTACACCTAATCCGACTGGAATAATAGGTTAAATATAGTAGGGAGTTAGCTTGCATACAGCATGACCATGCACAAGCAAATGAATCACTGAAGATGGGCTTGGCTCTGAAGAAATCCTTTAAATCTGAACCTTGAGGTGTGCTTTGCAACAGTCTAACTGCCATTGATCTTCAGTCTTTGATCAAGTTGCAAATAGAAGAATGCCAGTATTCGTTTCCTATGGCTTTGGTGATGTCAAATCTCAAAGAAAATTTGATTTTTTTAGAGCCTACATAATGAAGACTGTTCATAACCTGAACTTCATTTACTCTGTGTAACATACCAAGAAGCAAACTGGTGCTTTCCTGAATGTGGCTAATTATGCACTCTCACAATTCCCCTTTGGGGAAGACTCTCTTTTACAATAACCTGAGCAATGAAGACCTTTCAAATTAATTCAAATGAGCAGTGCTGAGTCACCTGTAAGGCAATTTGAATACAACTCCGAGGCGTGGTTAATTGTAGATTTTACTGGCACAGAGAATACAGGAGTTGTTAGTGTTAGCTGCTTGCGGGGCTTTTTTGGAGTGAAATGAGGGAACAGAAAGAACCGTGGAGAGGATGGAAAACTGGGGCAGTCTAGGATGTTCCAGGAAGAGCAGTACCATTTCAAATAGTGTGTATTTTATCACTCGAATCTACAAGAATTACTCTTAAAAACTGAAAAACAAGTCAGGAAGAAGAACTCACCTGTGGTTGAAAGTCAACTGGTTCCAGACCTAAAAATCAAACTCCACTATTGTTTTGAATTTCTCACTGTCTTCAGCCTGTAATTGAGCCAGAATACCATTAGTTTTCATCTAACAGAGAAAGACAGTGACAAGCATTAGTCTAGGAGTGAATGGCTTTAAAGACAGTACTATCAACCTTGATGTCCCAAGTGACAGCAAAATCCTACGGCTCATTTAATAGGTGGTAATTAATTAACTAGAATTTCTTAATCTGCCAGAAGGAACCCTTCAAAAGGAAACTAATATGGGCATCATATAATCGCCTGCAATTTGAGCAATAAAATTTTGTGGTTTGCTTATGAAATGTATCAGATTATTCCACACTTGAGACTGTGTGCAGGAGTCTACAAGAGACAATCTTCTGTCAGGGAAGAATACCAGCTTTTTGTGTTCTTGAAAGAGGAATTTAATGATAAAGCAAAAACCTCAAAATATTATTAATGCTTATTTATCTTTCACTTGCTATATAGAAGAGAAAACAAACTTACATTGTAAGGCTTGATTGTCTGACTTAAAATATCTAAAGAAACAAAAAAAAAAATCAGAAGCGTACAAGTGAGTGGCATTATGTCTTCAGTGTTATTCAGCACAAACGAAGCACCAGCGGCTTCTTTCCAAGAAATTTCCTTATACAAAGTAAAAGAAACAAAGTAACCAAGCAGTTCCTGCAGCTGGCCCTCAAAAGGTAGAATTCAAATTTTCTCACTTCTCCTGAGAAGTTTACATTACACCATTTTGTTACCCTACCAATGCAAAGAAAAAAATTGCATGCTTTTGTAAAATGACATTACGGATATGAGTTTTGTTCATGCAGAAACCTGAACTCAGCAGGAGGCCTTGCCATTTCCTTCATGAGCATGATAAGTGTGTACCTGTTGTGAACTGAACCACCAGTGTACAAGGAAAAAAATCCCTGGTGAATGCTCTTTACAAACAGTGTCAAGCAAAAATGGGGAATAAAAAATAAACTTAGGAGAAAAAGTGTAAAAGGATGATGCCTCTTAAATTCCTAAGCACATACCAATGGAGTTCTCCCTGGAGCACAGCTTGCATTTCTGCACCATAGTGGCACTTCCTCTGCCTCCTTTCAGGGGAGCACTGTCCTAAAAACCATGACAACAGAGTCGTCATTTTTAACTGCACTCTAGCTGAGCCACTGGAAACCTCTGCAAAGGTAAAGTAGTTTTTACAGCAACAGTCTTTACCTTTTTAAAAATATTGCAATGAGAAGGCTTTTTTTAAACTAGAGATATCTATAATTCAGAAAGCTGTGATTATCAAAGAATAACTCTGTTCTAGACTTACAATAGTGAATAATGGATAATTATGTCTTTTCCATATAGGCATGTTCCATTAATTCCTCAAAATACATTCTTACTATTCAGTAGTATGCAACAAAAACGGGTGATTATTCCTAAGAACAGAATGTTCTCTTATCCCTAACAAATTTTATCCTGCTTTTTCAGTTTCCAAATGCTAATTTAGCATGTTTAACTCACCTTGAGTTACTTAAACTTCTCCAAAAAGATTCCATCAGCATCAGAGAAATATGCTACAGGCACACCCTTATTCTGATATCACTTCAAAATTTGTTTTCAAATTTTATTTTTACAGAAAGGCAGCTTTTCAAAGCAGACATAAATACTTTGTCACCAACAGTCACCAATCCAATGGCATATTTCAATTAACAGTCTCAAATTTTTTAAAAAATATGGAATATGACAGCATTTCCTGAATGCATATAGCTATTAAAATACTATCTCATATAAAGTGCAAGTTGTCACATCCCTGATGCTAATATCCCTTGCATCTAAGAGGCAGGTTTGTGTGCTCATTTTTGTTCTGATGCAGGTTACAACAGGGAAACATACCATCAGTCGCAGATACTGCCATTTTTCAGAAACTTCACCACAGTTCCCACATTTCAGCTGAAAAATAAACATAAATCAGTGAATTTAAAGCTGTCGATACTCAGGGATTAAAAAGCTGAAGGGGCTGATGTGGGCCCTCCAGATACACAATCCCCACTGTTCGACAGCTGAGAGGGGCTGGAGGCAGGTTTCAGTTGCCATCTCTCCCAACAGGTCTGCGAACTGACCCAACCTGGCGAGGATGCCCACAGCAGAGGGTCTGCCCTTCGGCGCTTTGGGTGGAACACGCGTTACAAAGCACGGTCATGAAATAAAAGATGGTAATAACGCATCTCGCCATTCACCTGGGTTGAATTCTTGGCCATTGGATTACCAACCACCTCACCAATGAAGGCACTGACCAACACATGAACTTTTCATTACAGCAAACTAACGTGTAACGTCATGCATGTACTACTGCACACGTGTCTATATACTTATGCCATCACATTCGTTGCTCCTGTAGCAGCCTGCTTGCACCGTGTGGAAAAAAGCCGACATGGCTTTTTAAGCGGAGAGATGTGACATTCACCACCACAGGCCTTCATCGCCAGGTGCCCCACGGGACAGTCCAACAGGC